CTATGTAAAAACTGAACATAGAGTCAACCAGTTCTTTGAATGTGCAAAAAATGTTATTATTGACGGTCGTTTTTATCCAATATAACCACGACTACAGCTTCAATTCGGAACCTAGATTACTGACTAGTCATTTCCGAATTGTTCCTTCTTTAATAGACAGATAACGTTTTGATCTTGACAGTACGAACTCGTTAAAGTATCGCTCAAATACGCGACGTACAAAAGAATGCAACGAAATTTTATCTCGGGTATATAGCAGACTCAAATATGCAAAGGCTCAAAACGATCGAGGAGTACGGAATATACAGAAGGTAGAAAAAGTCCTAAAAAGACTAATTACTGAAGCTTACTTGGACGACCAGCCGCCCATTTTGTGTGGGCGAAAAAGGCATTTTTTTTTTCTTTTTAAATTATATATGAGATGTGTGTCCGATGGCGAAAGATTAGATGATAGCTGATTTTTCGAAGACCGAACTGTTGAACTTCGAAAACATCGTATTATTGTTTCCATATCGGGTTAGTTGTTTTTGTTCGAGAAAGAACTTACTTTTGTCAGGTACCAAATGTAGCGGATGAACGCATGTCTCTAAAGTGTCACTTAATTTAGACGCACCATTCCCAACAGAACAACAACGCTTGTCTCTTGAGTGTGAAATTATTTTAACTCTCCATAGGGCCTTCCTTCGGCTTGTCGGTGGAAACGCATTACAGACCTCTTACAATACGTCAGTACCGCGCAAAGCAAAAAATATGTGAGCCCATATTATTTCATGGGAAGTGACATATCTGTATAATATAATACTATCTTCAGGTAGAGGTTGACACTGTGTTATGGCGTCAAAGTGTATTCGACAAATTTTATATTAATGTTTCTAGCTTAACGGCTGGCGGTGTGGTTCGACACTATTTTTTTGTATGAAAATCTACATTTTTTGCGATACGCAATTTTCCTGACAGTTATTTTTAATGATCTCTCATTGCAACAAACCGGCATATAGATAATAACTGAAGAGACGCACAGCTTGGGTACGACGGAACGTCTGGTGGGTCATAATGTGCGGCCTCAAATTTCCCACTTGGCTATACAACTATAAGAATAAATCCTACCGCCATGACATACGAGCAATAACAGAAACGCGTAGATACGGGATTTTCAGATGCTGCAATATGCCCTAATGTGGCAGACGGATAATGTGATGATAATAATGAGTAACGTGTTTGCTTGATAATTGTAGGGACACGCTGTGTGGTCCAGGTTTGAATCCGGGCATAAAAATGGGAAGGATTTTAAATAAGTATAGCGCATATATCCCAGATGTATTCTTGAAGCCCATTCGGAAACAATAAAATAAGACTTCGTTAGCAGTCGGCATAAACGACACCCAAATGATTGGAATGAGACCTACCAACCGTATTTACGGGGGTCCAATGTTGAAGCGAAGTGGTAGAGCCAATCAATCAGGCAGCTCGCATTGTTAATACAATGATTTTCGGCGAACGTGTTTTATGTTATAGAGACTACGCTTGCTTGACAAAGGTAACTTTGCTTTATTTTACCTAACAGACAGCTGCTCGACTGAGTGGATTAGACATATGAAGACAGTGATGATGGGAGAGCGCTAGTTAACTATACACTTTCTAGTACCAGCGAATCAACAATTTCCGATAAGAAGTTTTATGAAGGTTACCGAAAACATCAAATGGGACGTAGTTTAACAAATTTTGCAAAAAGTAAAAGTTCATACGACCGTCCTGAAGCCGAAGTAAAAGCCGCACTAAAGGGATTGCTTTGATCGAAGTTAGTTAATTTTAACTGCAATTTAAGCGAGTATAATAGGGAAGTTTAAAAAAGAAAGAGGACACTAAAGATGAAACTGCTTCTAGTTTTCGGCGCGTTGTTGGCCTTAGTTGTAGCGTAATTAATTACGGTCAACTGAAGGCAAACAAACCGCGATAGAATTATAATGGACACATTTTACGTACTTATCGCATCACTTTACGTTTCCTGTCGTCTAGCACGATCATTATCAATATGGCAGGTGATATGGGTTCCGTCTGCCAACTATCGTATCTAGCCTGCTGGCAGCTCGGTTAACAAGTCACTCTTTAATTAATGTATCGTCTCATATTGAATGTATCTGTCATTCCCGTATATAATCGCCATTTCCGTAAAAGTACGGTTCGATGTTCTTAGTTTGCTCATTGGCATTAAGGTGGCATCATTACGGTCGTGCTTCATCTTTTCCAATATTGTTCGTCACCTTTGATTCCGCCTATATAATGTCTAAAATCATCGCTCGAATCAATTGTCTCTACCACTTTGCTTCAGTTAACCAACTCCTCCGGACCCCCGGTTGGTAGATATCCCTCCACAGTCACGGTTCATTCCAATCGTCTGGCTGTCGTTTATGCCGACCGCTAACGAAGTAATATACGCGCTATATTTATTTAAAATCCTTCCTATTTTTGATGGTAGATGTTGGTCATATTTTACCGACTGGGAAAAATGACATTTCCCTTGAAGTTCTATTGCTCTCTGCTAAAATTCACTAATGATCACAGCATAGTTAAGACAGAACACCTATATTTCAGTTACTGAAGTTTTCATAAACGTGTCTTCGTTATGGTCTTACCGGTTGCCCCAGACTTCGTAAACGCATTGTTACTTTGTACGATAACCTGCATTCAAGGAGCTATTATTAGTGAATGCGTTGCCATCGCAAAGCGGTTAAGGATCAAGCGTTTCTGATTAATAATGTCAAGTTGACAACATATTTCGCGGATGATAAATAGACCATCTGTAGGCATTGAACCTAAGCTCTTTAGAATAAACTCTATTGATATTAGGATTTGCCTTTGCTTATTGGAAGAACTGCTTTTAACTCAATTTGGGCCGATTCAACGCCAAGACACAATGAAAGATAGATAGACATAGAGCGGCTCGGAGTCTTAACGTGATAAAAACGGCGATTAAAGGCCTGCTGTGTCCGTCACCAACTTTCAGACCCGAACAGAATTAAAGAAGACAGGTTTATGTTCCTTAATATCTCATTTTTGATTTTTATCAATAAACATGAATTTGCATGCAGAGTTCGTCAGTTCTGGTGGGAAACCGCAAAAGAAGGCTTTGAGCTATTTTGTGTAAACAATGTTGCGTGCCGTAAAATCTATTCAACGCCCTCCTTAAAAGCTATTTTACAGATTATCGTTTTCATAATCCCATTTACGTGCCTAATAAAATACAATGGGCAAATTGGAATATATATTATAGGATTCCAAGGGCCAAACGGTGAAGCAATACAATTAGCTCATCCCCGAGTACAATGAATCTATATGGGAAAGCTTTGCATGAGCTCTGCGGTACGACATCATAAACTGGGGGGTTTGAGCTGTTTTATAGCATGCACATAGCGAACATTCTTATATGATTTTATATTATTATACCGACTGAGGTAGAGATTAACTCTACTTGAGATGAAAATAGATTTAGAAGCAATTTAAACTAGTGGAACAACGCGTGTAGCGTAAGTGGATGAATATTTTATATTTTACCCGCTAAACTGGACTTTATCCGCACACTCACTAAAAGTTCGTGGCGAATTTATCACAGCGCGATTACAATTTTGAGTTTTTTTTTTATAAATAATAGATAAGATATCTTTGATTCCGTCTAAAGCCGCCATAGTTAAATTTCCATGGAGTTAAGAGTAGCTCTGTCCAGGTCTCGCCTTATCTTTCTCACTTTCGTGCTTCTTATATGTATTGCTACCTAACAAACATACTCGTCGCCATGAACTCGACAGGGATTACCTATAGATGTGTCATGTTATATAGCCTGCGATTCTATAGCGAAATGGGAGTAACGCTTGACCTAGAGACCGATACGTGCGTTTCTCATTTTCATTTGGTAAACCAAATTGTACATTACAAAAATATCTAATATCTACCGCGAGAAATTGATTTTTAATTCTATAGAATTGAATTTAAGGATTTCCACTCGATAGTATAAACAATGTCTGTACATCACCGCACTGCGTCGACATCGACGTTTCTCAGGACGACTTAAATAAACCACAACATTGAATACTAGAAGCATTTATATACGTGAACCGTTGAATATTTAATTTTAATCTCACACGGTTCATACTATTAGGCGTGACAGTAGATTTATGCATCCGTGTCTGTATGCCGCGTGCACTTACTTGTACGATAAGCACGTGTTCATTACTCCCAAAACACAATGAATCGGTTGAATCTATTATATAACAAACGTCGTCACATTCTAACAAGTTAAAGAGCTTTTGAACGTAGATTTTACCAATTTAAATTAAGTAAGTGGCCAGCCAGGCATAATCTTTAACGTTTTTCTAAGATAACTGTATAGAGTTGTGTTAGTTGAAGCTTCTTCATTTTTGTTGGTTTGTAAGCATATGGTTACCTATACTAACCTTAAAATAGAGTCTATTTTACGCATAAAAAATTTACACCAGCTTCTCAGCCTCAATCTTCAGCATTTTAAGCTGGTTACGATACGATAACAAAAATACGTGCATAGAAATTACGTTACGATGAAACATAATTTCTATGCACATACTTATACACAAGGTCAATTTAAAGAACGTGCCGCCGCTCTGCGCCTTTCTTGTGAGCTTCAGAGTTAACTTAGTTAGAAACTGATTCGACAGAGGGCGCCAGCAGTCTTATCGAATGTCTAATAAAACCAACACAAGCCATTCCTCGCTATCGCGAATGTGTTAGACTTTTTAGGTACGAGTACGCTGCTTCCCCCACTTGCTGTACCAACATCTGGTAATAAAATAGGTGCTTTGTTATTACTATGTCACATGTAAAAAACACAGGCTGATTTATATCGATTTAAAATCGTTTCATACGCAAGTGTCTCTAAGTAAAAACGCCAATATTTAACACTAGCCATTTTTTTTTTATTGAGCGAAAGTTACTAATGCTTCGTTTTATGAGACGCTTTATAATCACTTTACCAATCGATGAGACTCGTATTCAACGTTCCGTTCCCTTGGACCTTTTCACTGATCGTTGGTAATGCACATGATGCTAAATACCCGTTCGAAGGTCTCGACAAAACTCGTTCCTAGCCAAACGCCGAGGAAGCCAGCTAAAATACCTGCGACTCCCTCCAACTGAATGGTCGTACAAATATTGTTCATAATTAAAGACGGCATAGAACTGATGTCGGCTTGCAAAAATGGTTTCACTAACTCCTGACTTGGAAAGTAACATCTTATAGGTTCGAGCTCAACCGATAACATATGCTACACGATTAGATGATGAAATAAATAAGAGGTATCTCGCCAACTTTTGAAACACTCAAGCAACGCTCCAAAGGAATGTTACAAAATGCATTAGAATAGTCTTAGTTCCGTGGATCTCAATACGTATTTTAACACGATACATACAGACATTAACGGTTTGTAAATGTAGTATTCAACGACGGAGGTTCCAAAAGAAAAGGTAACTGCAGCACGAATCACTTTACTCTCACCAGCCTTGATAGTCTGTAAAAAAACATCGTATAAGTAGAACGCCTAAGCAAGCGTACAAATATAAACCTATGTTTTTTTAGCCATTTTAAAATAAGTCTTTGCTTGTTTCTCTTTCAAGTATCTTGCTTGTAGATTGAGTTCCCATTCCGAAATCGTGAAGGTTTCAAAACATAATCGGAATACAAAAAGACGAATGAAATGTAAAACAGCGAGCAATTCTTTATAATCGTGTGATCAATAGTAGATCAACGGCAGTGAATTTAGGTGAAAACGGGAATTTAGGTTAGTTCTACGGGAAATGAAAACTTGTTGTTTACTGGAAATGTGTCAACGTAGCGATAATTATCTATACTTTAAAATATATTCCATATGTTTTGTCATGGATTCATCGCGGTAGGTGTTCACATAACCCCTGTTAGTTCCATTTTCTGAATTGTGACATGGCCCCCGGAAGGATCAGATTTAACCTTCTAGCGTATCTGTCCTTTTTATAACAATTTTTTAGTTGCACAGCATCCAAATTTATACTCTTCTTTTGATAGCGTCTTTTTTCTAATAGCGTTCGCCATTTGTCTACTAGATAACAACGAGATTTTCGATAGCGAATTGCGAACAATTATCAATAGGGGGTAATTCTTCGCCCAATGACCGACGAACCCCAGAATATTAGCACCTGGCCAAATGCGTTACTCAGTCTTCGAGATGAACATGCCATTTATTCGCGAATTAGCGACAGACGACGTCGAGCTTTGTCGTTATTCTTTCCAGGGGCAATTTTCCAAGAGGGAACTAACGCTAACGGCAGCACTGGTAGCGGGGTTGGCGGTGGCGCTGATGAATTAAATGATGAAATGCCTACTTGGCAAAAATGGTTCACTTTTATCTTATTGCCGGTGATCATCGCTTTGCTATGGTATTGTCTATACAACAATTCACTGGTCTCTCCATACCGGATTTACCTGCCGGCGTGCAATGCAACCTTTGAGAATCTTGAGAGGGCGTTTCCGTCGCAACCAGCCCACGTATGGACCGCTATACAAAAAGTTAAACAAACTGCTTCGAAGGGACGAACTCCTGGTGTTCTAACAATACTGGCAAATGCGGCCGATAAACATCTTCTGAATCAATTTGCATTATCGGTTGCCTATGCTTTGGGTAATAGCCAATCGCCGGTGTGGAATGTCATCAATATAAATGGAAGTGAAATAAGTATGATTGCGTCCCCCAAAAAATCCCTCATGTTGACCTTCTTTAAGGTAAGGAGCAAAGATAGGTCTTCATTTAAGTATGAGTTGTTAAGTTATATGTTTATATAAGTTTTTTAGCTTTGCGGCATGCTACCAGTCGTCAACCACCAACCAAGATTTAACGTCGAACTGTGCATAAACTTCAAGTTTGCTACGAGCTAACAGATTAGCCATGTACAGTTGCTATCCGACGAAACAATGCTGTATTTTTTTTTACAACACACAACAACTGTGTGTTCTGTTGGTTTTTTTTTTTTATAGGAAAAAAAATTTGTCGCAATCGTCAATGATCTAGACAAGATGAATGCGAGCTTTGTATCGCTGTTTCATTCCCTCACTGACGAGCTAACTTGGTTCAACGGAAGCATGTTCATCTTTACCGTGACTAGCTTGGAAAATGTAGAGGAATTGTCAAGGGATAAGTGTGCCGTTACCGCAGAACAGGTCTTGATCAAGGCTTGGAAGGACCAGCTCCCTCTACACTATCGGTCGGCATTAGTCGCTAGACTAACTGGCAACACTTTGGTGGTAAAGCGTGAACAGTCATTTAATCAAACATAAAATAAAAACAAACTAGATTTGAAGTTTTTTTTTTGTTCCGAACAAAATTAACTCAGTTATTGAACACTGAAGATTTAGTTTAAGAGTTTTAGAAGGAGAACTATTATGGTAGGCTGAAGGCAGACATTATGACCCGTAAACGTTAATATAAATACGTTGTGCTACTAATTCAACTTACCGGTAACGTCTGGATACCTCCAAGACGGACGTCGTATCGCACGGTCCTTTGCATAGAGTTAATAGAACAACAGTGCTTTCTTTAATTTTCAATAGTTTTATGAAAAAATCAGTAAATGTGACAAGGTTGAGCTGTACTGGTTGTAGGTGCCTCCTGTAGGCAAGATGGTCAATAGATTAATAACTATGGTGTGATTTTTGGCAGAAAACTGTTTAAGGCTTGTCTAGCAATGATCTAGTTATGAATAAGCTAACAAATTAAAATACGACAAATAAGATAGCTCATGCCATAGACTCTAAACCTTGAGTAGTTCTATCAGTCGCAGAAATGAAGTTGGTATAGTGAGAAGAAAAAATGACTTTGCGTACTGTGTTTGGACACAAACTATCTGGCGTTATCATCCCTTTAACTGTTATATAACTACTGCTATATACTACATACTTCACTTATGAGATAAGTGAAGCATAAACTTACTTGCATTCCTGGTTACACTTAGCGGCGCATTGAGCCATTCGTAATGCCCCTTCGGGTGTCTGTACGACGTCGGTGCACTTGCCTGAAGTATCAATGAAGCGCAACTTACTGACTGTAGAAAACATGCGCTGAAAATTACTCAAAAACATGGTAGCCCGAGCAAGGCAAATTACTGGATAGGATATTCTGCACCATATGAAAGTAGCAAAATAAGTTAGTCTCGACGGAATAATAGCAATGATTTTACACTCGTTACATTTAAACAAATCAACCGCAATGATTAGATGGTAGAATATAAGTATTAATAGGTTGGAGGAACTGAATCCTCCTTTGGATAGTACTTTTCAGGTTTCCTGCATAGCGGAACAAATGTAGAACAAACAGTGATGGCTGTATATTTAATGGGAAATGGTTTATCGGCAAATTTCATGTTGGCAGTTTATACATTGTTGAGTGTGCATTCATCTACGATTTAAAAGCTATATGTAGCATTATAATGCGAACTTATCGTCATACTAAATGGGAACATGTCGTTGCTATACGGAGCTACACGGAGAGACGTCTACAATGGGCGAAAACAGGACATTTCTTCGAATATCCTAAGTAAGGCTAAAAAAATGTTGTACTCGACCTTGCTCTAGTACGCCTGGACAAACGTCATGCGGCTGAAAGTGCTGAAACTCGTGGATACCTCGAACGCAGCCACAGAGGTCGACTTCCGCGAACATTTGGCACTGCTGCTCACAGCTCTGGGCAATCCAAAAGCGTACGGCAGTATTAGCAAAATCAATTGAACGAGCCCTCGGTTGTGAGGGGTGATGTAGTGTAATACATAAAAGTCGCATTGAATACCACGTACTCTTCTAGCCATGTTCCCGCGAAAAATTGAACTTTGTCCAAATTTCTCAATGTAGTTCCAGCATCTAGTGGAATAAGGCTTTTCCAGGCGTTGCCATACTAGTTGAGCCAGTGAATAGTCCCGTATCTGTGAGTAACGTCTCGCCAGAATGAAAGTACGCTGTGGTTAGACTTAGAAGCTGGCTTCGAGATTTTTCGACCTATTTGATAAATACCAGTTTCACCAATATAGAAATTTGATTGGCCACAGGTTCTTTCAAATGATCAATTCTTTTCAGTTTCTAGTAGGAAAATCAAATATAATTAATTACAATAATTTAAAATATCTATACAAACGTTGCCATAATGGAAACTGTTACCTCACCTGTCCTTTCGACATTGCGGCCATATACAGCGTTTCCGGGGGATACACTCCGCTGTCGTGAAGAAGTATCGGATAAAATTCAGCGTCCATCGATGACATCGTTTCCGATGTATTCCAGCTTGCCTCGAGATACAGTTCTAAGGGTGAAAATCAACGCTAATGAAGTATAGCTGCCAATGCTCAATCGACTGTCGAAACTTACTATATGAAGCTAATCCAAACTTGTCTTGCCAAAGGGTTCGACAGATCTTGACCGGTTCATATTGTCATTCTTCATGTACTTGGGCGTGCTTCGCAAGCCAACCACTTTTGCAAAGCGAACCGTAAAACTCTCCTCGGGCTTCGCTCGTAAAACAGCAACGCGTCCAACCAAATAACACCCACGACACGACCCAACCACCGCAGGCCTGCTACAAGGCGACTCCAAAAGGAGTTGCTATAAGCTTGGGGTCCTTAATAAGGCCTCTGCTCCCTCTTAGCGAGGTCTCCTTCTTGCTGGCGTCGCAATGAACTCGATTTGGCAAATGTGCTCTGTGAATGTGTGACTGTGCTTATCCGTGCAAGTATTCTGTCTTGTGTGCATCTTCGTGTACGTAAAACCGAGAGCCTTACCATAAGAGTGTTTATTGCCACACTTGCGGTAGGCGTGACCACGCTCGAGATAGCGCAGCAGATCCAGTGTATAGCATGCCATGAATGGCGCGCGGTAGTTTAGATGGCGGATCCTGGAACCAGCCCAAAATGAAGATAGCCAGTTTACCGGAAAACACTTTTAATGTATACACTTCGAGGTAAAAAAAAACCTCACCGTTTGAAAGGGTATCTTAGCTCGAATTACTGTAAAAGTTGTCTTTACATGTTATTTAAAGGTCTTAAAATCTATAATTTGATATTTACGCGGCACCTTTCTAAGTGTACGTACCCGTCAATACAATCAAAGCTTTCGCAGGTTTCGTCCGCTGAGGACATACGGCATGAGAAGAGTCTGTTTGGAGGCTTCAATCCAGCCTCTCTGTATGTACGGTTGAATGCATGCGTGGGGTATCTCAGAAACACGAACTTAGATATTCAATATAATATGCAATGTTACTATTTGTGCTTGCCACAGCTGATTTCTATATCATAACCGATTTTGTTGCATGCTTCTCCAAAGTTTTGAAAACTGCAAAAATTCCAGTCCTATTATAAAGCAAAACTGACATTTCTATTAATACCGCATACAGCTGAAAAATTGCTACCCATCTAGTTTAATATACCCATAAAAATAAACAAAATATAAATTATTTCTGTGTTTATACAAATGTACTATGATCGATTTTGGCACTAATGTTGAAAGCTAGTTTATCAGATGCTGCGATTTAAAACGCACAAACATATATAAACAAACAGAAGTCTCTCTCTCTCTCACTACAACCAAAAAAGTACTGACAAAACGTTTAACCATTCTATATAAGTTTATAAATAACGACATACATGCATAAGTATAACCTGGTGCTATAAGTATATTTATTAAATATATACAGAATGTTTTGAGATCGTGTGAAAAGTATTATACCGTAACTGTTTATGGTACAATCAAGGATCTCGGTTAGCGCCTTATGGTCCTATCGAGATTATTGTGCTCTATCACCCTATCGAAAATAGATCTCGTATGTCGAAGCACTCTAAGGGCACAGTAATAAACGATTTATCGCAATTGTTAAGCTAAGTTTCATATCTGTAAATATTGAATTAAATAATAATTCTCTAGTATGCACCTACAAGATCTTTGTTACTGCAGGGCAGTGTGTCACAAACTTGTGTAATGTTATACCATGGCGAAAGGCACACGGTAAGCGCAGGGAAGACCGCAGCTTCTTTCACTTCAACAAAAGTAACATAACTAGGATAAGTTAGGTACTCTTCAATCACTTTATTACTTTGATACAAGAAACAAGTCACATAACAAATCAGGATTAGTATCCAAATACGAGCGTGGCGCCGTATCTGAGATCGAACTGTATTGAAGATACGACTGTGAAGTTGATGTCCTCCTAAAGAGTTCATTCGTGTTACAAACATCGCCGTCTGTTTCAATATAATTCTATGACTTGTGGTACGAACAGTCACACGTAGCTCGTCGACACTGGCGCGTGCCAGTGGATTGTATTGCCGTTGTTGTGCCTCACATCGAGACTTTAGCTTTAGCTGAAGTGGTTTCGATTACGTTTTACCGATATAAAAACATATGTATGTTCGAAATAATTAGCTTATAAATACAATGCTGCCATATATCGTTGACACGATGTATGTCCCCTTGTTTCGCGGTAGCTTGAGGGCAGTACACGTACGCGTGTTGTCATTGACTTGGACGTCGCATAGAGGTCGATGCGTGTATCAACTTCATAGCTGGTCAACTATAATGCAAATGTTTGCGTTGCGGTATTCAGCCGTTCAGCTGAACAGTGATCGATTGTTTAAAATAGCTTACCTAACCTCGGTCCTCTCTGAAGGTCGCCTAAGGGTCGGAGTCTCCGCGATATGCTTCTGGCAGCTCTAACCGGCTGGCCAAGTCAATCGTCAACGGGTGTCGTGTGTCTCTCATAAATCATTTACTTAGCGGGCCGCTTGCAGACATACACACACATACACACACACATATGTAGTCATATTTGAGTAACGAGTTCTATTTTCGCTCGAAGCGTACAGCTGCTTGTTCGAACCTTTTTCCCTACATCAGTGTCGTACAACCTCAACCTGATCTGCGCACAGAGACTGCGTGGCCGCAGGGTCTACTGCAGGATTTCGACATATGGCCTAGCTTCGGTTTCCCTCACAGTTCTTTTTTTTGGACTAACTGCGGTGGAGCCAGCAGTGGCAGCAGCAGCGGGGCCCGCCGCCCTTGGCACTGCAGGATATGCAGCCGCGGGAGTCGCCAATTCTTAGCTACGGGAGCTTTGGCTTCTTTCTTCTGTCCTTTCTTTTTATCTCCACCAGCCCCTTCCCGTACCACTTTCTTGTTAGGGGAACTGCTGCTGGTAGCGGGAGCCAAGCAGACTCACCTTTATCTCACGCCTTCCGTCTTTTTCGACGGTTCCCCCTTAGCCAGCAGCTTGCCTCCGATTCCTCACATCAGCAAGGAGTTCTCGCTAGCTTCAGCTCACTTACTCATTTATTCGCGATCCTCGTTTTCTTTCTCGCTGAGGGACGGCTCGGGCTTCCTGTGACGACGCTAAAGAAGGAATGCTAAAGGCGAGCGACGGCAGACGGGAAAAGGGGAACTGGCAGCGGACGTGGGGAATCACAAGCCGGAGCTGCAATGAGGGGCTGTTCTCATTTGGCAAGTTAGCAGAGCTCTAGCGAGAAGACTCATTGTGCGACTGTTCTTACATAGAGCTTTAGCCTTTGCGGGTATGTACCCTACCAGCTTGTGGCCTAATACCAGCCTGGTTAAGTAACCTACCTTCTCTATTTAATCACATATGTTGTGTAGTATTATTGTATACGAAGAGTGATTGCTTTAGTTACATCAGTTAGCCTCTTTTTAAAGCAATGCTTAATGTTAGTTTTTTTTCGCTGTCTCTTTGCCCCTTCCACGAATCGAGATGTTACCTTTTGTAGCGAAAGCAGTAGCAGAATTAGTAACTCCGGTTATGGCTGTCACCCCCATCGGAACTTCCGTCAGGAACTTAAGCGCAAGGGCACATTTTGTTATGTCCCGCTTCTTCTGTTCCCTTCCTGTTCTTGCTCTGTTTGGTGACTGTCCTATTCTTGCAATATGCCCCTGAAGCGGCAACGTTTATTTAAAGAATGGACGTTGATAGTGCGCCTGCTTATTCGTTGCAAACCGACACCCGGCTGACTCGAGCAGCAGAAAGCAGAACTTTCTGCGGGGCGCTCTGCAATCGTCGTCGCCTTGAGGCTTCTTAATGAATCTAAATGGGGCAATCAAAGGCGGGATTTATCCTTTACTCACACATCCTGCTTCCAAGTTCCCAGAGCAACTGCGCACGGCGCCTACCCGCTGTTTCCACTATTGGCAGCGGCTAAGCAAAAGGCGAAAGAACCAAACTAGCGTTGCCGTGGGTGGAGAGGGAAAACGAATAAGTGCGAGGAGGAAAAGCCAACAGCAGCAGCAGCAGCAAAAGAACACGAACGAAGTTGGCGAAGAAGTTGAAGGAGGAGGGCGGAATAAGGAAAAGCGGCACAAGTGAGGACACAGCTGCTTCATATAAGGCCGTAACAAGGCCCACAGCAGTAGCGAAGGGCCCGACGGGCAAAAAGGGAAAGCAACGAGAGGTCCGAGTAAAAGTCGACGTCGGTGGTTGCGGCTGTTTTTGGCCCTCGGAAGCCTCGAAGCGCTGGGAGGAGGGCTTAATTTGTGCACTTTCCATTTGCTGAGCACCCAGCATAACTACTGCATCTACAGAGACATGGAATAGGCTTGGGTAAATGTGTATAGAACGCACCCCCATTAATATATTTCATGGGCACCTAGGAGTTTGGCGGAGGTGTTTTGAGAGGTTTTGAAGATGTTTGGGCGCCAGCGTTGATACAAGTACCCCAGACGGTGCACAAAGAGAACTCGGTTTTGAAATCAGAGAAGACTTCAAATGCGTACTTAACATCGTTGTACTTTTAGTAGTTCGCTATCCTATGACACTTAATTATTCAAGCGTAGTGACTTTTCAAACCTTGTAATGGGAAGCCAATTATTTTCACGGTATGCAGGCCCATGTGAGTAAAGAAGTGTTCCCCTAAAACTGATCTGTTGTTGAGCAACGAAGAATTATGTCTTTCTTGACGCCACCGTATTCGTCCATTGCGAGTACTTCTTCTTAAGAAAAAATAAAAGACTAGCCAGAAGGAGAATAGCTAACCTTCTTTTCTTGCTAGTCCTTATTCCACCGTTGGAATGGCAACGGGAGAGCGTGCACAGCAAGGATTCCAAGCTTCAAGCGTCTGATCGCGAAATAGTTTAAACGACGAATTCTAGTCGCTGACTAGTATAGAGAATTGTCGCCCGGAGTAGAAATAATATAATCTGGTAGCTAATTTTACATGAACGCCGCTAAAATGAAACATTAAATATGGAACTGATGTTTCCGTGAGGTCATTTTTGTTGACGACATATGTACAAATAAGTGCAACACTCAAAAGTCAGAGTTAATGTTAGTGATAAACGTTGTTCCAACGTACCCGTTATAACGTCGAATTTGTATGTTTACTAACACCTAATCGTACAATATCAACTGGGCCCATATTTCTCCCATATGGTTTTATCACCTTCTACCAGTCGATATTCCAAACCATAGTACTCGTTATCTCTTCCCGGGCTCTTCGAACCAGTGTTTCATTAAGTTGAATAACGACCATCTATTGGCTTAACATATAATCCCTTAACGAACAAAACGTATAATCCCTCGTGAAATATTAGTACGAATCATTACCGTAGTCTCTCATTGTGATGTTGACGGTCTGAAGATAGAATTTCCTGTCCGCTGCCAGTCGGATAATTTTTTAGCCATGATCAGGATATAACATTTCGATTTGACTGTCTGTCGTACAATGGCGTGAATGGATGATGTGTCACTTAACGACAATATTCACCTTGTAGGCCTCTTTAAATATGGGGCATAACTGGGTATAGAACTGATCTTAGCTACGGGCTAGCACTGCCCCCAAATGAGACCGAATGGAAAACAAAATTGGCTTTCATTTTTGCGTTTTCACCAATCTACTATAATAGGTAAGTATCTATGGCTCTCGAGGCGATAAATGATCGTTCAATGTTGGATGTAAAATTTACCATAAATAGCAATATCTATATTTATTTCTACCTTGTTTTCTATGATATAATTTATTTAACGAAACCGATGTTTATTTTTGTTAACTACTAGCAGCACGCACTTGCTGATCATCAGGCCTGATCGAATTGAAGCCAGTTATTCTAGTGGAAGGTGGACGATCCCCTCCATACGAGTTTCGTTCCCAGAATTATCTTACAGTGCATATAACTAACCGTGGCTGAAATAGGTATTCATCCCACTGACAACCCAGCACTTGTGCCTATTTTCAGTCGATTGCTCTATTCACCACAGGTAAACATCGCGTTGAAGTAGGAGCCCGCGTCTATGAAAAAGCCTCTTCTCCCCTCTCGCAGTCAAGGATTGCTTTCAACACATGCCTATACTCCTCGATCGCTTTCAGCGCTTATAGCGCGCTCTAGGTGACTTCACTCGTGGACCTGCCATAACACACTGATGGACTTGACTCCACCTTAGTGCTAATAAGCTAGTTGAAAAGTTCCTATCGTCACCGATAGCACTCTGGCAACAATAGGCTGACGGCGACGATCATAGCGATACAAACGGAACTGTCTACCGCTGACACTGCCTCACCGTTGCTACAGGCTTTGCTCTACATTGCCGCCATGAACGCTTTTTATTGATACTGGACAATGTTCTCACAATTTCCCATTACTCGATAGAGTAAGCCAAGCTTGTATGACATATATGGATGTAGCTATCTACACAGGTTCAAAATTGAGATTCAAGCAGCTCGACGAATTTGCTGTTTGATCATTTGAAAGTTACTCCGTCTATAGTGTAATCTTTTCTACTTTCGAAAATCGTAGTATTGATTTGTAAGATACAGATGAAACAATGCCCCTGCAACAATTTAGTGAGAAGTAATCCCATTCCGTCGTTGATTTAGGGGGGCGAACTGAGGATACGCGTGCGCGCCGTTGACCTAATGGTTCTTGATAGATGATTACGATCAAGGAGCTTCAGCTGAGCATTAACTTGTTATCCTTATTTGTGTGCGCGTCTCTCTCCCTTCATGTGTCTCTGTCGAATCTATTTCTATCCAAACGTTGCTTCGGAGGCAACGCCTAGAGTTAGAACAGAAGCATCCTCTTACTGCCGTGCGTAAGCGTCCTTTAGTTGTCCGTCCGCTTTATTTGCTGTAAGTCAACCTTCAACAGCAGCAATGGCTGGCGGTATCAGAACAGAGCCTCGTTGCTTGCTAGTCTGTCCCGTCAGTAGACGGCGGTCGGAACTCAGGAGTCCGGATGAATATTGAAGCGAACTCCTGCCGTGCACGGCGGGAGACAAAACTCATCTCATCGGATTTCATCAAAGCGGAGAACGCGTTCTCCTTGACTTTGTTTCCCGGGCGGAGAACAGACAGACCGATGTGCTCATCGCTGCCCGCGTCTCCTTAGCTCAATTCTGGGACCTCAGGATCACTCGCGGCGCTGTTCCACCGACTGGAGCTGGCAGTGCCTCTAACGCCGTCATCGCTGACCAGGGCGGTGCCCCGAGCTGACAGTAAAGGTACATACAAAATTGTCCACCCAACGGGTGGAAGTTATGCAGCTCCAAACCAACAATCTTCTTATATACGCAGCTCCTAGCCGGACAGGAAAACAGAAGTTTGAACGGAACGATAACAGGAAAAGGAAGAAGGGAGAGGGCTGCGTATGAAACAACTCGATACATCCGCAGAAGGCATACCATGAAAAGAAAAATAGCTCTACGAACCTCAGAGTGGGCGTGTGTGTCCTTTCTAGGCGGTGGCAAACGCCAAAACAGGTTGCGTGCCCAGGTATTTACACAGAAATCTAGGCAACATAAAAGGAAATCTTGTCATGGCAATACAGAAATATCGAGAACAGATTTGGGCAGAGCTGTGTTATTGGGCGCGCAGGCCGAATTTACAAAATTGTGTACGCATAAGTGGCGCTTCGTAGCTATCCCAATGTAGATCCACCCAATGTAGAGACCA